GTTCTCTGTCAGTTTTCTCACTCCATTCGGTGCTTGGCTGAGTTCTTTATCTCTTCATTTGATGTTTTAGGGTTTCAGGATGGTTGTATTCTCTGTTCGGCTTAGTTTTTCGGATCTTTGCTGTGGAGGGATGGCGTGGTGCTTCTGCCTAGAGCGCCATTTTGCCAGAACTCCCTTCTCAGTCTTGTGTTTTCCCAGGAGTGTGGACAAGACCAGAGCTTTGCCGCTCGTCACGGCCATCTGTGCACCCAGGTAACAAGTGTTAATTTCTTTTCTCTCCCCTCAGCCTCAAAGACAAAAATAAAGGCGAACTCATCCCCCCTGTGCTGAGGCTCACAGTGACATACCTGAGAGAGAAAGGTGAGAGAACCAGCCAGCCAGGGGAGGCCAGGGCTGCCAGCTGTGTGCCCCTCCTGGGAGTCTGTCTTGGGTCCCAATGCCCAAAGTCCAGGGAATGGGAGGAGCTGGAACCTGCCCAGGGAGGGAAACCAGGACGGGAGGGACCCAGGCACGTGGTTCATGGGGCGGACTCTGGACTGACTGGGTTTGAATCCTGGCTCCGTTGGGTGCTAGCTGTGCAACCTTGGGCCAGTTACCCACCTTCTCTGGGCCTCCGTTTCCCCACCTGTCCATCGAGGTTGATAACAGTTCCTGCCTTGTGGGGTTGTTGAGGCCTAAATGAGGAAGTGCATTGAAAGCACTTCAAACAGCGCTGGTCCACAGGAACCAGAAAGACCCAGTTCCTGTCAAGTCAGCTTCGACTCACAGCGACCCCGTGTGTGTCAGAGTAGAACTGTGCTCCATAAGGTTTTCAAGGGCTGATTTTTCAGAAGTAGATCGCCAGGCCTGTCTTCGTAGGTGCCTCTGGGTAGACTCGAACCTCCAGTCTTTCAGTTAGCAGCCGAACGTGTTCACCGTTGGCACTACCCAGAGACTCCGGCAATGGGGGGGAGTGGGGGACAATCTGGATTTGGGCTGGAGAGCATTCCCTGCTGGCCACAGAGGGTGAGTGTGATGCTGCGGCCAGTGGGGTGTCAGAGAATGTTCTGGAAGCCCCATGTGTGGGGACCTGTGAGATGCCTGGAGGCTGCTCTCCCTGCAGGACTCCACACCGAGGGCCTGTTCCGAAGATCGGCCAGCATCCAGACCGTCCGAGAGATCCAGAGGCTCTACAACCAAGGTGAGTCCATTCCTCAGAGACCTCACTCCACACCTCCCGCCGGGCCAGCAAGCTCAAGCCTCCAGGGCTTCAGAGCCCCCTATCGGGGCAGCGCAGCCCCCAGATAAAGTCCAGAGCCAGGGGCAGCTGCCCAGGAGTGGCTGCGAACTCGAGTGGAGGCCCTTTGTCCAGACTGCCGTCCAGAGTAGGTGAGATGAAGTCTTGCCATCCTGGCTTCTAAGGAGCATTCTGGCTGTACTTCTTCCAAGACAGATTTGTTCTTTCTTCTGGCAGTCCATGGTATATTCAACATTCTTCGCCAGCACCACAATTCAAAGGCGTCAGTTCTTCTTCAGTCTGCCTTATTCATTGTCCAGCTTTTGCATGCATATAAGGCAACTGAAAACACCATGGCTTGGGTCGGGCACACCTTAGCCCTCAAAGTGACATCTTTGCTTTTTAATACTTTAAAGTGGTCTTTTGCAGCAGATTTTCCCAGTGCAATACATCTCATTTTGAGTCATGTCACACCAGCAAATGAAGGTCCTGAAAGCTTGACTTCATGAACGTCACTAAGGTAGACCCTACTCTGAGGAGACAGCTCTTCCCCAGTTGTGTTTTGAGTGCCTTCCAACCTTAGGGGCTCATCTTCTGGCACTGTATCAGACAATGTTTCACTGCTATTCATAAGGTTTTTCACGGGCTGTTTTTTCAGAAGTGAACCACCAGGTCCTTCTTCCTAGTCTGTCTTAGTCTGGAAGCTCTGCTGAAACACGTTTGCCAAGGGTGGCAAATCTTCCAGTATCACAGCAACACACAAGCCCCTGTAGCATGACAAACTGACAGACACTTGATTTCCCCTCCACCCCCATCTCCCCACACCTGTGCGTTCACTCAGCAAGCACCCCCAGGCCAGCGTGGAGCTGTGTTCAGTTGGACCCCGAGGGGTCTGTGAGGGTCTTGGGTGGTCAGTCTGTCAGATGCGGCATGAGCAAGTGGGACTCACGCAGGAAGGCCAGAAAACAAACAGAATTTAGTACTCGCGGGTCCCAGAGAGGAAGCCACAGCACGCTGGGACGCAGGGCCACCCAGGACTGCAGCTGAGACAAGGTAGCCACCAGCCGGAACGGCAGTGAGCGGGCTTGTGGGTGGCAGGTAGGGTGGGGTCTGTAGTTAGCATGCTGAAGACCAAGTGGTCAGCTGGAGTTTTTAGTGTCTTAGCCTGGGAAAAGGGAGAAGTTTTCATCACAGGCACCCATGTGGAGCAGGCCGAGAGGGCCAGAGAGTGACTACAGCTGTTAAGAGTTTGGGTTACATGGAGCAATGGGGTTTCTATCACGGGAGTCCGTATGGGGCGTGGCTGGGAGGACCAGTGAGAGCCCACAGCTGTTGAGAGACGGTGAGGAGACGCGAATTGCCGTGTCAGAAACCAGGTGAAGGGGCAGCTTGTTGTCATTAGTTACCGCGGAGTCGATTCTGACTCATGGCGACCCCCTGAGTGCAGAGTAGAACTACTCCATGGGGTTTTCAAGACCGTGATCTTTTGGAAGCAGATCACCAGGACTGTCTTCTGAGGCACCTCTGGGTGGCTTTGAACCACCGACCTTTTTGTTAGTAGTCAAGCGCTGAGGCTCCTGGAGGGCAACTAGGAGGCGTGAATGGATGCTGAGGAGCAGGCTGTGTCGGCTGCACCTCTGCCTCATGGCGGGTGCCGAGCTCGAGCCGTCTGCTGGGGTCCCTTCTTAGCCCTCGTGTCCTGGAGTCATGCTGGGCACTGTTAGAACAAGTCCTTCCTGGGACCCAAACTGCAGAAATCAGCCATGCACTCACCACCTCCGCTGGGTGCCGGAGGAGGCAGGCGAGGGTGGGGCGTGCTGGTGGGGGGACAGCACCCCCATTCTAGCTCAGCCCTGGGCTCTTGGTGGCAGAGGCGTCCCCAGCACATGTGGTCCCCGCACACGGTCTCCCCGCTGGGGTCTCAAAGCCAGTTTGCGTCACAGCCCATGTGGAAGCGGCAGCCCCAGGCCCAGAGCTCAGCTGCGCCGTGTCCCCGGCCGCCTGTCCTGGCTTTCCCGGCCTGTTTAAATACTGCTTGCCCCTAAGGCCCGCTCCCTCTGGGAAGTTGCTCTGCTTCTCCCCACCTTTCATCGCCCACGTCATCCATCCCCTCATTCACTCATTCATGTCTGTGTGCAGGAAAGCCCGTGAATTTTGATGACTATGGGGACATCCACGTTCCTGCTGTCATCCTGAAGACCTTTCTTCGAGAGCTGCCCCAGCCGCTGCTGACCTTCGAGGCCTACGAGCAGATCCTCGGGATCACCAGTAAGGACCGGCCCAGCCCCAGGGGCTGGGGGCTCTGGGGGCTTGGATGCCATCCCCTGCCTGTTGAGGGCTGGGGTGGCTTGGGTGAGTCTGCCCAGGCTTGTCCTGCTGCCATCTGACCCTGCAGGGTGGAAGGGGGCCTTTGTGGCTGCCCCCACCATTCAGCAAGGTAATCGGGGTCCTGGACCCCCTCTTGCTTCAGCCCAGGCCTCTGACCACAGGCAGGGGAGATGGGGTTAGAGGCCTCCCGGCCGTCTCGGGTGCAGCTGGAATGAGGGGCAGCCTAGTGGGCAGGAGTGCAGGGGGCAGGGGAAGTGTCTCTAGATTTGGGGCAGATTGCCCTGGTGAGGGTCCTACTCCTTCATCCCTCCCTGTGCTGCTCTGGAGGGGTCCCCCTCCTCCCAACACCTCAGCTTCTTCATCTCGAAAGGGGATAACAACCCCTCCCTGCATTTCTACCCAAATTGTAGAAAGCAATGGGGATATATGGGATCTGTTGTTGTTGCTGTGAGGTGCCATTGAGTCAATTCCGAATCACAGCCACCCCGTGTGACAGAGTAGAACTGCTCCATAGGGCTTCCTAGGCTGTAATCTTTTGGGGACCACATTGCCAGGTCTTTTCTTCCACGGGTTCAAACTGCCAACCTTTCAGTTAGCAGTCAGGTGCTTAACCGTTTGCCCCACCAGGGCTCCTTATCTATGACCTATGCAAATAACAAACACATCAGCTGCCGTCGAGGTGACGCCAACTCATGGCACCCCCCCGTGTATGTCAGAGCAGACCTGTGCTCCATAGGGTCTTCAGTGGCTGATTTTTCAGAAGTAGATTGCCAGGCCTTTCTTCCAAGGTGCCTCTGGATGGACTTGAACCTCCAATCTTTGGCTTAGCAGCCGAGTGCACCACCCAGAGAGTCCCAGACTCCCTGCAGGGCTTGTTAAAACACACGTCAGGGGACCCCCGGCCGGGAATTTCTGGTTCCCTCTGGGGAGGGCCCAAAACCAAACAAAAAAATATCAAACCCATTGCCGTTGAGTCAATTCAGACTCACAGCGACCCTGGAGGACAAAGTAGAACTGCCCCATAGGGTTTCCAAGGAGTGGCTGGTGGATTCAAACTGCTGACCTTTTGGTTAGCAGCTGAGCTCTTAATCACTGTGCCACCAGGGCTCCTAGGGGAGAACCCAAGAATCTGCATTCCTGATGCTGTTCCAGGGGACACTGATGCTGCCATCACTGTGTCGGGGTTTTGCGGATGCAATGCCGAGCTAAGGGACTCGAATTTTTTCCAGCTCACTCATTTTCTTCTGTAACTATCAACTTGTTGCCCTCAGTTATTTAGTAACAACTGTTCCTTCCTGCTCTTAAATAAACTACGGAGATGGAGGAAGGACATAAGCCTGGCTTACAGCTTCCAGCTTCAGCGGGAGCCTGAAATTGATGCTCAAAGACCTGGGGGTAAAACATGTGTCTCGAATGGTAAAACTCCACCGCGTGGCCTTTTGCAGCAGGGAGAGGGGCTGGCGTGGGGCAGACAGAGAATCTTAAAAAATTACATTATGAAGAAAATACCACAAATACATAGTGAAAATTTTTTTTTAACAATACAAAGGGGTTTGCAACGAAGTGGAGTCCCTCTGCCAGCACCTTTAGCCCCACTGACCTCAGCAATGGTTCTGCGTGTGTTTGCTTCTCTTTCCCGAATGTTTCTTGTGTACACATTGCTTTGAGCCTTGCCTTTTTTTAAAAAAGCATTACGCTGTCTTTTAGGTCTTTCCTCCTGGTATGTGTTCATTCTCTCAATAGCTCCATAGCATTCCATTCAACTTACAATATTTTATAACACTGTATAGTACTTTATTTAACTGGCCCCCTACTGGTAACCATTTGCAGCTATTTCCAATTTTCTTTTGCTCAGTGATAATTTTAAAAGACTCGATGAGCAGAAAATAATGACTGTCCCCCGTAAGTACTGTGCTCCTTTAAAAACTCACGTATACGAGACCAAACCGTCACCAATTACTTTAAAACAAAGATAAGATTGGTCCCAACCACCTGGAGTAAAGGAGAGTGAAGAACACCAAAGACACAAGGAAAATATTAGCCCAAGAGACAGAAATGGCCACACAAACCAGAGACTTCATCAGCCTGAGACCAGAAGAACTAGATGGTGCCCGGCTACCACCAATGACCGCCCTGACAGGGAACACAACAGAGTCCCTGATGGAGCAGGAGAAAGGTGGGGTGCAGAACTCAAATTCTAGTAAAAAGACCAGACTCAATGGTCTGAGACTGGAGGAACCCCAGAAGGCATGGCCCCCAGATTCTCTGTCAGCCCAGAACTAAAACAATTCCCGAGGCCAACTCTTCAGACAAAGATTGGACTGGACTGTGGGACATAAAACGATACTTGTGAAGAGTGTGCTTCTTAGCTTAAGTAGATACATGAGACTAAATGGGCAGCTTCTGTCCGGTGGTGAGATGAGAAGGCAGAGAGGGTCAGGAGCTGGTTGAATGGACACGGGAAATCAGGGGTGGAAAGGAGGAGTGTGCTGTCACAGTATAGGGATAGTAACTAAGGTCACATAACAATGTATGTATAAATGTTTGTATGAGAGACTAACTTGAAATGAAAACTTTCACTTAAACTACAACAATAAACAAAAAAAAAAATTAAAAAAAAAGATAAGAACGTAAGAGGGCAGGGAAACTAGATTAATGGAAGCAGAACAACCAGAATGGAAATGAGGAGAATGTAACCAACGCCACTGAACAACTTGCATAGAAATCATTGAACAGGAACCAAAACTGCTGTGTAAACCTTCACCAAAAACACAATAAAATATTATTTAAAAAAAAAAGAAAAAGACTGAAAAAGTTCTAAAGTTCCTGTGGTTGAGAATTGAGATGTACATTCTGTGGGCTGTGGTTTGACCACTCAGAGTAGTTGAGATGTGAAAAGTGAGTTTCTGGAGATTCCAGCTTCCCTGGTGGGAGGCAGGTTCTGCCCTCTGTTGAGACTCATCGGTGGGGAGTCCCCCACCATAAGGAGGGGCTCGGAGGGCAGGCTGACTGAATGTCCCATCTGTAGGAACCTCTCAAAGTCAGCTGAGCTGCAACACTTAGTGATGTGTTTATGTCGAAATGCTTTGAAAAGTACAAAGCACTCGCGCAATGTTTGTGATATTTATCCAGGAATATGTATTTTTAAAAGATTTTGCTATGTAAGCATGTATAAGGAGCGCTTGGCTGTTAACCAAAAGGTTGGTGGTTTGAACCCAGCCAGTGGTTTCAAGGGAGAAAAGACCTAGCGATCTGCTCCCGTAAAGATTACAGCCTAGGAAACCTTATGGGGCAGTTCTGCTCTGTCACATGGGGTCGCTGAGTCGGAATCGACTTGATGGCAACAACAAACATGTATTTTATATAGAAACTATGTATTTTCAGGCAAGCATCTATTCTATGGAGCTCTGGTAGCCTGATGGTTAAGAGCTCAGCTGCTATTTGAATACAATAGCCATTCCTCGGAAACCCTATGGGGCAGTTCTGCTCATTCCTATAGGGTCACTATGAGTTGGAACCCACTCAACGGCAACGGGTTTGGTTTGCTTTGGTTTTATCTATTCTGTATATTGATTAATAAGTACTTGGCATATATGTAATTGTGCACATGCGTAAATGCAACTTTAACACTTTCAGAGGGAAAATTTGCCTCTGGGATCGAAGTAAGTTCCCCAGCACAGAGAGGGTGACATGAAGAAAGACGTTAGTGACTGTGGAGTTTCCGGAGTTTTACAACCTGGACTACACCCCTTTGACACCCTTCCAGCATGAACTTTGTGTAGTTTGGTGAAAGAAGCAGCTTTGAAGATGCATCGGGGCTGAGCATCTCCCTGAGGGTGGGAGGGGCTGGGACCCCATGGGCTGATGGAGACACCCCTACCGTGCCCAGGGCTGCCTGTGTGTGTGCGTATGTGTCTCTTTGCGGTGTGTGTGTATGTGTGTGTAGCTGTGTGTGTCTGTGTGTGTATGTGTGTATGGTGTTTATGTGCGTATTTTTGTGTCTGTGTACGTATATGTGTCTGTGTGTCTGTACATCTGTGTCTGAGTCTGCAGAGAGAGCTGGGTGCATACTTGCTGACTGGTGGGCTTTGATTTAAAGTGTACGGAGGTCCGATGGGGGATGTGGATACTGAAGGAAAACTGTTCCATCTCAGAGTCCGGGGCGTTTACTCCAAGCCCCTGTGGGTGGGGCCCTGCTTTCCCCAAGAACAACACAGCGTGGGGATTTGTGGGGCTTTGAATCATCAAACAGGCTAGCTTTGTCTAGAGCAGGAGTCAGCCGACTTACCACAGTGACAGAAAAGCAGCCATAGACGATAAGTAATGAGTGGGTGCAGCTATGTCCCAATAAAAGTTCATTGACAAAAACAGCCACTGGGCCACATTTGACCCATAGGCCATGGTTTGCCGACCCCGGGTCTAGATCATTCCAGGCTTTTGGCTTTGACAGGTTTCTGGGAGGTAATGGTTACTGTGCTGTTTTAAAGAGGAACGGAGCTCAGAGGAGCAGAGGGCTTTGGGAAGGACAGCCACATGGCCGGGCCAGGAGGGAGGCGGGGGCTCTAGGCCTGACCCTGACACTCGCCCTCAAAGCTGGGAGTCCCCTCTGCTCTCCGCCCTCACCCGCCATGCCCTTGCAGGTGTGGAGAGCAGCCTGCGAGTGACCCAGTGCCGCCAGATCCTGAGCAGCCTCCCCGAGCACAACTACGCCGTCCTCAGCTACCTCATGGGCTTTCTGCACGCGGTGAGCGCTGAGGGGGCGGCGGGCGCTTCAGGGCGGCGGGGCGAGGCCGCGCCCTGGGCTGCTGCTCCGCCCGCCTCGCGGGGCCTCTGCCCTCCACGCCGGGGGACCCCCACCTCGGGGCCTCCCCGCTCCACGTGGGGCCTCTGCCCTCCACGCCGGGGGGGCCCCCTCCACCTCAGGGCCCCCCTCCACCTCAGGGCCTCCGCCCTCCACGCCGGAGGGGCCCCCCTCCACCTCAGGGCCCCCCTCCACCTCAGGGCCCCCCTCCACCTCAGGGCCCCCCTCCACCTCGGGGCCTCTGCCCTCCACGCCGGGGGGGCCCCCTCCACCTCAGGGCCTCCCCCCTCCACGTGGGGCCTCTGCCCTCCACGCCGGGGGACCCCCACCTCGGGGCCTCCCCGCTCCACGTGGGGCCTCTGCCCTCCACGCCGGGGGGGCCCCCTCCACCTCAGGGCCTCCCCCCTCCACGTGGGGCCTCTGCCCTCCACGCCGGGGGACCCCCACCTCGGGGCCTCCCCGCTCCACCTTGGGGCCTCCGCCTTCCACGCGGGGCCTCTGCCCTCCACGCCGGGGTACCCCCACGCCGGGGGACCCCCACCTCGGGGCCTCCCCGCTCCACCTTGGGGCCTCCGCCCTCCACGCCGGGGCCTCCGCCCTCCACGCCGGGGGGGCCCCCCTCCACCTCAGGGCCTCCCTGCTCCACCTCAGGGCCTCCCCGCTACACCTCGGGGCCCCCACCCTCCGCGCCGGGGCTTCTGCTCTCCACGCAGCGCCTGTGTCCTTGGCCTGCTTAAGACGACACTCATCACTGCCACACGCACAGCACTTTACAGGGGTTTCGTGCACCCCATGACGGCGTATGGCAGCAGCCTGGGAAGGAGGCTGAGCAGGGAGTCTGCTCTGGGACATGAGACAGAGGCTCCAGGCCCCCTTTCCCCCATCCGTCCCCATCACACACACACACTCACACACACACACAAATAGCTCATACACACTCACACACGCATGCTCACCGACACACAGGGTACTCACACATGCGCACACACACACTCATACACGCACTGCCATGCTCACTGACACAGTGTACTCACACACTCACACACACACAGCTGTAGCTGACTGTCAGGGATGTGGGTCCTTGGGGAATGCTGAGTGCATACTGACCCTCTTCCCCTTCTCCATCCCTCTCACCCTCATAATGGGCCTCACCCACAGCCACAAGGATTAGCTGTAGTCGGGCCCTGTGCCAAGCTTTTCACCGGGGCTTCAAACCATTTTGTTCCGGTTCTAACCCCTGTTGAGTATTTGCATTTCCACCCTCAGATATGCTGACTCAGAATCTACGTATTAACAAGATCCCCAGGTGATTCTTATGTATAATAAATACTGAGACTCACTGCTCTACTGGTGGTTCTTAGCACGGGTCTCTCGGGTCTCGGACCAGCAGCATTAGCATCGCCTGGGAACTTGAGAGAAACGCAGATTCTCAGCAGGGGTGTGAAGCAGAACTAACCAGTTAGCAGCCCTGCTTTTTACCCTCTCTCGTGAGTCCCCACAAGCCCTCTGGCTGGTCTCCCCTGACAAGCACAAAGGCCCAGGGCGTTCAGACAGCTGAGGGGGTGTCTGGTGACGCCAGAGGCCATGCTCCCCAAGTGGGCCTCTGAACCCTCCCAGGGCAAGAGTGGACAGTGGGGATTGAGGAGAACCCAGCAGGCAGGCCAAGGAAAGTCACAGCCAGAGGCATTCCTCCGAGGGCACCAAGTCCAACCCCTCCTTTACAAATGGAGAAACTGAGGCAGAGTGGGTGGTGGGGGGGCTGCACGAGGTTGCAGCACTGGCTGGCAGCCCAGTCCCGGGCTGTTCCCGCTGCACAAAGACCCCAGTCACAGGTGCGTCAGGGTTCACACCTTGTCTCACTTGTGTTCCCTTCCAGGTGTCCCAGGAAAGCATCTTTAACAAAATGAACAGCTCCAACCTGGCCTGTGTCTTCGGGCTGAATTTGATCTGGCCTTCCCAGGGGGCATCCTCGCTGAGTGCCCTCGTGCCCCTGAACCTGTTCACAGAGCTGCTCATCGAGTACTACGAGAATGTCTTCCGTGGCTGGGAGGCGCCTGGGGGGCACCCGCCCACCTCTGCCGAAGCCGGGCATCCTGGCGGCCCCTCTGCCCGAGGGTGTGCCGGAGATGGACCTGCAGCCAGCCTTGTCTCACCTGTCGTGCCTCCGCGTCCCCTGACCCTGGCTGGGAGACACTTCTAGCACTGGAAAGGCCACGTCAAAGTCCATCTATCTGTGGACTCTTTGTATGTTTTGTGAACTTGCTGCCTGTGACGGTCAGCAGGCATTAAACGAACTCGGAACCTGCCAGGGAAAATTCAGTGGTTCTCAATCTTGGGCCCTTCTCGCTTGTTCTTGAGTGGTGGATGGGGTCATAACCCCATGTGGATAACTGGAAATGGAGGTTTATAGCCTGGGGCTTGTAGCATTTAGCTGTGGCTGGCATGTGGTGTAACAAACCACCCAGACCCTGGAACTGAAAACAACGGCCGTGTCACACTGTCCGGGACACAGAGTCGGCCGGACAGCAATTTCCTCTTCCCGGGGCTTGGTCACACGCTGGGCGGCCGCCTACAGCTGATGAAACTTGGCTGTAGTGTAGACGCTCACATCCGTTCAGCAGGCTGACCGGGGCTGTGCTCACCAGGCAGGCAGAGTGCCTGGGCGGTATACCAGTGGTCTCCGCGCTAGTGCTGATGTGGTCCGTGCCACGTCCCGAGGCCTGAGTCACACAGCCGAGACCAGAGTCGAGGTGGGAGGACACTGCAGGACTGTTTGGCAAAGGGTATGGATACAGGGAGGGTGAAGAATGAGGGCCTGTATTAGTCAGGGTTTTCTGTTGAGACAGAATCTCTCTCTATATATATATATATATGGGGAGAGAGTTTCTAAGGAGCAGCTGGTGGATTCAGACAGCTGACCTTTATTGTTAGCAGCCGAGCTCTTAACCACTGTGCCACCAGGGCGTCTCACACACACACACACACACACACACGCACACGCACACACACACACACAAGGAGTCCTGGTGGTGCACTCGTTAAGTGCTTGGCTGCTAACGAAAGGTCAGTGTGTTGAACCCATCAGCTGCTCCGCAGCAGAAAGATGTGGGTATGTGCTTCTGTAAAGATTACAGCCTTGGAAACCCTATTGCGCAGTTCTGCTCTGTCCTGTGGGGTCACTTATGGGTCGGAATTGACTCAACAGCAATGGGTTTGGGTTTTTTTGGCATATCTATAAAAAGGTCATTAAAAAGACAGAAAAGGAAAAAAAGACCAAAATGGACGTCACAAGAGACTCTGAAACTGGTTCTTAAACTTAGAGTAGCTAAAGCAAAAGGAAAAAGTGATAAAGTAAAAGAGCTGAGCAGAAGATTTCAAAGGGCGGCTTGAGAAGACAAAGTGAAGTATTCTAATGACATGTACGAAGACTGGACTTACAAAACTGGAATAGAAGAACACGCTCGTCATTTCTCAAGCTGAAAGAACTGAAGAAAAAATTCAAGCCTCGAGTTGCAATACTGAAGTGTTCTATGGGCAAAAATTGAATGAGGCAGGAAGCAAGAAAAGAAGATGGACGGAATACACAAAGTCACTGTACCAAAAAGAATTGGTCGACGTTCAGCCATTTCAGGAGGTAACATATGATCGGGAACCGATGGTACTGAAGGAAGAAGTCCAAGCTGCACTGAAGGCATTGGTGAAAAGCAAGGCTCCAGGAACTGACGGAATACCAACTGAGATGTGTCAACAAATGAATGCAGGGCTGGAAGGGCTCACTTGTCTATACCAAGAAATTTGGAAGACAGCTACCTGGCCAACTGACTGGAAGAGATCCATATCTGTGCCCATTCCAAAGAAAGATGATCCAACAGAAAGCAGAAATTATCAAAAACTATCATTAATATCACATGCAAGTAAAATTATGAAGATAATTAAAAAATGGTTGCAGCAGTACATCGGCAGGGAACTGCCAGAAATTCAAGCCGGATTCAGAATAGGACCAGGAACCAGGGATATCCTTCCTGATGTCAGATACATCCTGGCTGAAAGCAGAGAATACTAGAAAAAATGTTTACCTGTGTTTTATTGACTATGTAAAGGCATTGGACTGTGTGGATCATAACAAATTATGGATAACATTGTGAAGAATGGGAATTCCAGAACATTCAGTTGTGCTCATGAGGAACCTGTACTTAGACCAAGAGGCAGTTGTTTGAACAGAACAAGGGGATACTGTGTGGTTTAAAGTCAAGAAAGGTGTGCATCGCTTTTCACCATATTTATTCAATCTGTAAACTGAGCAAATAATCCAAGAAGCTGGACAATATGAAGAAGAATGGGGCATCAGGACATGCAGATGACACAACCTTCCTTGCTGAAAGTGAAGAGGACTTGAAGCACATACTGTTGAAGATTAAAGACTACAGCCTTCAGTATGGATTACACCTCAACATAAAGAAAACAAAAATCCTCACAACTGGACCAATAAGCAATATCACGATAAAAGGAGAAAAGATTGAAGTTGTCAAGGATTTCATTTTACTTGGATCCATAATCAACACCCATGGAAGCAGCAGTCAAGAAATCAAACAACATACTGCATTGGGCAGACCTGCTGCAAAAGATCTCTTTAAAGTATTCAAAAGCAAAGATGTCTCTTTGAGAACTAAGGTGTGCCTGACCCAAGCCATGAAATTTTCAGTCACCTAATATGCATGTGAAAGCTGGACAATGAATAAGGATGACCTAAGAAGAATTGACAACTTTGAATTGTGGTGTTGGTGAAGAATATTGAATATACCATGGACTGCCAGAGGAGTGAACAAATCTGTCTTGGAAGAAGTACAGCCAGAATGCTCCTTAGAAGCAAGGATGGCAAGACTTTGTCTCACGTACTTTGGACATGTTATCAGGAGGGACCAGTCCCTAGAGAAGGACGTCATGCTTGGTAAAGTAGAGGGTCAGCGAAAGAGAGGAAGACCCTCAACGAGATAGATTGACAGAGTGGCTGCCACAGTGGACACAAACATAGCAACAACTGTGAGAATGGCACAGGACCGGGCAGTGTTTCGTTCTGTTGTACATACGGTCGCTGTCATGGATTGAATTGTGTCCCCCAAAAATATCTGTCAACTTGGCTAGGTCATGATTCCCAGTATTGTATGATTGTCTACCACTTTGTAATCTGATGTGATTTCCCTATGTGTTGTAAATGCTATCACTATGATGTAATGATGTGGATTAGTGGCAGTTATATTGATGAGATCTACAAGATTAGGTAGTGTCTTAAGCCAATCTCTTTTGAGATATAAAAAAGAGAACCGAGCAGAGAGACGGGGGCCTCATAACACCAAGAAAGTAGTGCTGGGAGCAGAGCGCGTCCTTTGGACCTGAGGTTCCTGCGCTGAGATGCTCCCAGACCAAGGGAAGACTGAAGCATCACAAGGACCTTCCTCCAGAGCCGACAGAGAGAGAAAGCCTTCCCCTGGAGATGATGCTTTGAATTTGGACTTGCAGCCTAGTAGACTGTGAGAGAATAAATTTCTCTCTGTTAAAAGCCATCCACTTGTGGTATTTCTGTTAAAGCAGCACTAGATGACTAAGAAAGTTGCTCTGAGTCAGAACTCAAGTAGATGGCACCTAATAACAACAGAGACTGGGAAAATATTCCATCCGGTTTTCCCAGCAGTTTCTGAAGTTTGGGGAAAATCAAATGGAAATGGTGAGCCTACCTTTGAAAGATCTCCAGGGTTTGGTCCAGATGACCTCCATGATTGTAAGCTCTTTGAGGGCAAGAACTGCACCTATTCCATGAGCGCAGTGACATAGGCAGAGGCGGTAGGTTTTCAGACGGCTTCGCCGTCCCCCCAACACCACTCACCCCATCCCAGTCCTTACTGAGCTGGATGGTACAGCCGACGTGCTCCGTGGGCTGCTGGCTGGTCAGGGCAGGGCTGTGGTGGATCTGCCCAGTCACCTGGAGGACCGGCAGGCCTGCTGGCCTGGGCGCACGTCTCCCTGCTTCCTTCTCGCCCCCTTTCCCCTCTCGCTCCTTCCTCACTGCACACTTACCCAATTTCTCTCTGCAGCTCCCCTCCTTCCTGTTCTTGTTTTTCTCCCCACCCCTCACCCTTCTTCTTTTCATTGTTGTTGATTTGTGACTTAGGAGACCTCCCTGGTGGCACAATAGGTAAGCACTGGCTGCTAACCGAAAGGTTGGTGGTTTGAACCCACTCGGCAGCTCCGCGAGAGAAAGACCTGGTAATCTGCTCCTGTAAAAATTACAGCCTAGGAAACTCTATGGGGCGTTCTACTCTGTCATGTGCGGTTGCTGTGAGTCAGAATCGAATCGACAGCACCCGATAACAACAGTTTTTAAGGAAGCAGATCGCCAGGTCTGTTTCTTCCTTGGCGTTTGAACGGCCAACCTTTTGGCTACCAGCCGAGTGCCAACCATTTTCGGCACCAGGGTCCTTTTCACCTGTCTCCTTTCTCCGTCTTTTGTCGGTTTCCTTGACCACAGCCTAGAGCAGGGCGCCCAGCATCTGCGCCCCCTCCCCCAGGAAGGCATCCTGCCCTCACACGGTGCCAAACAGCCGAACAACTCTAACACGGCCTCCGCGTTCTGTTGCCAGGGAGGAAGAACAAGAAAACGAAAACCTGAAATAAAAAGAACGGCTCCCTTAAGGGCGCGCCACTGTGAGCTGCCGAATTAACGACGGTGTTAAATCAAATCTCATGCATTATGCAGCGGGGTTTACAGCCAGACGCACGTTTGAGAAATATATGTTTCAAATTTCCTGACTCGGAGACATGGCCCCCAGATGTCCCCCTGCAGCTTCTTTGATAACAGCGCCCCGTCACAAACGCGCGCTGCAGAATCCGAGCTTTGGCCCGGC